GGGAGCGGGGTGGGGGGGGTGATGAGGGCCGCACTAATTACCAGAAACGCCGCGCAAAAGGCTGCGCTGCTGTACGTGATTCTACGTCCCCGCAGAACACACAGAGTTAACGACCACCCCATTTATTACAGCGCCCAGAAGGTTACAAGTACGACAGCGTCACAGTCCCGAGAGCGCCGTGGTTTAAAAACTGCTTTCAGTTCCTTTATCAAATCAGCGTAGGAAGAAGGGAGCTATTTTACAGAGAGTAAGCAGCGGCGCGGAGTCTTAGCTTCAAGAAACAGAAACGTAACACAGAGTCAAACTAAACGTCAGCTACCAACAGCCACCACTACTCTGCATGCGTCACCGCATCCGCCAGACACCGAAACCACAACCTGTCAGGCCAACCGCTTCCGCAGAAGGAAACGGCGCCAAATTTTCCATTAATAGAAGAGTCAGTAGTAGAGCGACTTTCTTCAGAGAAAGACCACCATCGGCCATTCACGCTGCGTTCTAGGACGTAGTGATTAATATTAAAGTTACACTGGAAGGACGAGTTCTCCAGGATTGAAAAAGAAATTCGTAATTTGATTTGTGAAGTGTAGTTCGTTATATCCATTGTTCTCCCGGAACGTTTATGTTGCAGGGATCTTCGGCAATCCAAACTCGTCCACCAGTACACCATCCTGTCAGAAAGAAAAAGATGCCACAGGTCAACGGCTCCCCTCCACCCAGAGCACGGCACAGAAGGTTTCTACAAAGCGCTGTATCTGCAGCTGTCACCGTGTCACAGCTGCGATCAACCTAAGAGCATTGGTGTTCTGCCCTACTATGAAGCTGCTTGAAGCAAACACACAGAAGACTTTCTTACGGTTTTAAGAATAACTACCCTGGGAGCTGTAGTGGTACACTTCAGTTCTACTCGCAGTCTGACAATGTCACGACAGGAGTTACGAAATGCCATTCAGCTCTTTACAATAAAGAGCACTCAGCACACTGTATTCCCTCATATACAGCGTCCAAGATACATAAAACATTAAGCACATTTTTTTTTGTTCAAAATAATAAGGATTCTAAATATCGAGCAACCAACCAAATGTGATTAATCCAAAACAAAAAAATAGGTATTTGGCTTTCAAAGAGGAAAGGACTTACTTTGTTTTTCGTGTCAGTAGGAGTGACCTCTGGGATTGCTGGAGCAGATGCAGCCTCATCTAAGTAGGAATTGTCTTCATCGGCTAAAAGCTCATCACCTAACGCATCCAGTTCTGAAATTGAATTATATTGGTTGAAAAATTATGCAAGGAATTCCTTTTGCAAAAGAAAAGTTGCTCTTACAGAGAAAGAGGATTCATACGGAATGCTTACATTCATACTCATTTAGCCTTACATCAAGCATCAGTCGGGAATACACACACACACACGCACAAAATGGAGAGAACATCCTTTTCCTTCACTGTAACATTCCATCAGCGTGCATCTCATGTTTGTCTCATACTTTTGTTACTGATCTTAAAGGAAATGCAGCTTTTATGCTTATAAAAAGTGAATAAAACTGGTGGGTTTTAAGTATTTGACCAATGAAATTCAAAATCACTGTATGACCGTACAATGATTTTTACATCACAATGTAAAAATCACCCTCCACCTTCCTAACCTGCTTCCAAGTCATCTTCATCTATCTCTGGTGTTCCATAGCTACGACTCAGTGCTTCCTGGACTTCATTGGCTTCTTCCATCATATCCTCCAACTGATCTTGTATGTCCTGGGGCAAGAAACAATTTCAGCTGGTCCATGTTTAATAATTTTAGTTAAATTTACCACAGCTTAATAAAATTCTGTTTAATAATTCCAACATACAAGGCACTCAATTTTCTTTTAATGCATAAACCATTTTTTGTAGCAGAACTAATACAAGACACATGCGTTCAGGACTACAGTGTGGCCTTAACAACTATTATAATAAATGTATCAGGCAGAGAAAGAGGAACCTCAAAACAACATCTCTGCAAAATCCTTTTAAGTATTCTTCACGGTAAACTGAAAACCTCTAATAAATTACCCAGAGTCCAGCATTATCTTGAAAAGCCGGAGAGTATGAAATCTAGATAAATTAAATCTAGAATCTTGAGAATAAGCACTAACCTGAGTTGTGCCACAGCGTAATTCAGAAGACACTTTAGCATACCTATTGGCATTGTACTTGCACACAGTAAGGAGACAATACTTGCCTACAGGTATATAATGCAGGCCATGTATAAGAACAGCATAGGAAAGAGAATTTCAAGGAATTCAGCACTGGTATTTGAAGAGTTTAAATTACTTAAAATTATATTTACAGGTCTTACGGGGGCTTTTTATGCATTTTCGGAAGACAGGGCCAGGCCTTGCAGACCTCTTGAAATGAAAATTTTTTTTGGCTGGTTTATTTGGTGGGTTTTTTCCCCACTGGTTTTGTGGTTTTTTGGTTTGTTTGTTTGTTTGTTAATCAGACACTACCTTGAACTGGGGGAGCAAAAGACTAATCTGCATGTTGCTAACAAAAGGGGGGAAAAAAATGGAGGACAAAAAAGCCATATCAGGAAGTATTCACTAACATTTATGCTGAAGTGCAGAGGAAAGGAAGGGAAAGATTAAAGATTAGCCCAGCAAGGAAACAACGACCAGTGCAAGGCAGCCAACAACTGGTGGTGCAGCACCAGAGAAATCAGGAAGGAATTATGATGGTGGTCCCATATAAAAGGGAGGCAAACTCATCCGAACTAAAGCAGTCAGCTTACCTTTAAGTTACACAGTCCACTTGTCACTATTTCAGCACATTGTTTCTGTTCTTTTATAACTTAAAACTATAGAAGCTTACCTCAATTTGATCAATTTTGACTTGCTTGTAAGCTTTCTTCATTTCCTTCACCCCCAGTTTCATTGCATCAACCTAGAACAGAGTCAACAACACACTCGTATCTGATGTAGCATACACAAGTTAAACAAACGTGAGATTTATATACTGGTACCGTTGTCTTTGTATCCTTCAGTGCCTGAATAGTGTAATTAGCTTGTTCCATGTTAAATGACTGCTGTGACAGATTATCCCGCTGTTGCTCATACCTGTTAAAAACAATGCAAATAATGGCTTTAACACACCACTATTTATTGCCACAAACATTGTTAATTTTATAAAAAATTGGAAAAACAGCAGCAGTAGTCTGAAGATAGGAACAGAATTTTTGTTTTTAAAATTTACAATAAAACTATCACATCAGAATAAATAGCTTCATAAAAATCTGACCATTATGCATCTCTATGTATTTAAAGTTGACAAAGCTACTCCTGAACTAACCTTCTGTTTTACCTGATGGCAATACCATCTTTGTACAGGCTTACACAGCAGGTGAGGATACAGCAAAAGTTTTTATGACTATAAGCTAGAGATGCATTTCATTGCTCGCTAATGCTGCAAGCAGAAAGGAAGAGACGCAGGTTATCCAAACCACAGTGGCTCTGCACTGGAGCAGGGAGACTTTAAAAATCAAGAAATCATCCTTCTCAAAGCTAAACTTGCATCCAATCAAGAATGTATAATATGTCAGGCTGAACACAAAAATGAATGCATAAAAACAAACAATGAGTCCTCCTTCAAACACCCAATGCAGGAGGTCTGCAAGACAAGCATGATCCAAACACAAAAGAGCTTCTGAACAAGGACTGACTAAATATATTACCGTTCAACAAGACGGAAGAGAGATGACTGAGGGATATGATGATAGCCTATTATGAGGGGCCCCGTGACTATAAATAGGGGAACAACTATCAAGTAAGATTAGCAGGCCGCATAGTCAGAAAAGGAAAAACGCCGAACAAAAAAACAAAATCCAGCAGTCCTTCTCAAAACATCAACTAAACTATTGCATTCCTTACCACAGGATATTTTGGTTGGTAAGAGCAGCCAAATACTTAACAAGTAACTGAGCAAGTCTGTAGAGGCACAATTCATCTGAGGGATATGAAATGCAAGACGATATGAGCTTTAGCATCTAAGAGATTTGCAGTTCAGGGACTGCAAGATATTCCGGTGAAGCACCCCTGAACATGTGCCACGTTCTGACGTTCTTTCCTTTGTATTTGTTGCTGGACACTTTTCAAGGCAGTGTACTAGACTAGATCAGACCACAAGATCATCTATCCTGTCCATTCTGGTTTTGTTGCATAGACACAGCTACCTGCGCTACATGTGCTGAGGTCCTAAAGGATATCCACAGAGAACAGGCAAATTTCCAGTAAACCAGACCAAGATCATCAAGCACACAATTCATAGTGATCAATCAATTCATAATATAAAATGAGGCACCCTCGCTGAAAGTTTAGGAGGCAAGCATAGCTTTAATAATGAGCAGATTTAGGTCAGCTTGTCCCAATCAAAACTTATACACTTGCAAATAAAGCACAAATACGCTGATGCAAAATCTGTAAGGAGATGCTCCCAAAAGGCTGGGTAGCTTGTTCAGCATTTCTCTTGAAAGAATGCTCAGAAGCAAGAGTACTGGAAAGAGAAATTAAAGTGTGCTGCCACCCCCCTTAAAGGAAACAAGGTTTCATTAATCCCCAAACTGAGAAAGGTTTAAACTTACATTCGCTTCTGCTTTAAAACTCTCAACGCTTTCTGCTTTACTGTGTTCTGAAAGACACAATATTGTTACATTAGGAAAAATATTTGACTTTACTCTTGATTATACTGTTTAAACCTAATGTATCGCATTTACGTTTTCCAAAAGACTCCTCATTTACTAGTGCAAAGAGTTTAACAATAGTCACATTCAGCACTGGTCCTGCATTAATGATTAACTAAACAGGCTTGTAGGTAAAGGTTCTAACAGAAAATACCTTCAAAGTTTCTGGCTTCTGAACTTTTTTTTTTTGATAAGCAGAATACCAAGTGAAACTTCGTCCATCAGAACCATCTTTCATCAACGCACTTTAATGGTCAGCATCAAACAATACTGCAAAAGGTACTTTAACAATACTGTTTATATTAGATATGTTTATTATTAGATACATTTTATATAGTATGTTCACCCCCTTTCAAAAATAGGTTTTCCTATTCCCATTCCACATAGTGCAGACCTGATGAACAAAACAGCCTCTCTACTAGACTTCATTCAGGAAACAGAAGGAAGGGAAGCCAGTTACTTCTGACTGAGGAATTACAGTACACGTTGGAAGAAATAAAAACCAGTGAAAGCACCGTTCAAAGATGCATGTCTAAGTGATGCTTCAGAATAAACATAAACCCGCAGAATCTTCTATCCCATCAGTTGGGCAAGATGCAATTCTAAGAACCTGATCAGCTGGCTACATCACCCCACTACATGACAAGAAGTGAGTCACATCCTCTCGTGCTTAAATCCCACAGAAGATTCTTACCTTTGCAGGCCCCTCTCTCATCTTCTTCATTTGATCTTTATACTTCACTAGTTCTGCATCAAGCCTAGCGATTTTCTTGTCAATTGACTCAGCTCTGCTATCCACCTTTAATACATGACAGGGAAAACAAACAAAAAATCACTCATTAAGATTTTATTCAGGTATTGGACAATAAAAAGAACAGTCTTAGTTTTATTATGCTTCTAACAGAATTGTTTCTTCACTCAGCATGTTTTATAAAGTTTCATGTTTGTAGAGAATCCAAAACCAGAATCAAGGGAAACGCCTTCTACAAGGCGCAGAAGAAATATTCCGAGGCTGCAGGAAGCTCTGCCATTGTAACACATTCTCATAATTTCAAGAGGCTTCCTTGCACACCCACTCAAGTCGTGGCTTCTGTTCAGGAATTTGTGGTAACAAACACTGCCAGGAACTAAACTGGAACCAAAAAAGAAAATCATAGGTGTACCATACTGACAGATAAAGGAGGGCCAGGGATGTGCTCAGCAAGGCTAGAGGTTTATTTTTGGTGGGCAGAGAACATTAATCCTTTACAGTGATACCTGGATTACCGGTTACATTTAAGAAGCCCAAACTTAACAACCAGTTTTTCAAATGTGCCTGACTTCTTTGACAGAGACACTTTTCCCACCGCTTCCCGCAAAGGGAGCCAGGACACAGCAGGTCCACCTCGTAGCTACTCCAAATTCTTACTGCACTTTTGCTCCAAATCCCAATAGTAGCTGCGTAACTCAGTAAGAGACCTCCAGCAGTCAATCCTAACAGCCCCGCCGCAGAGCATATCACAGAGATGTCATTATGGGGATATTTCAACCCTACTGCATAAGAGGGTTAAAGAATGTAATCACATAACCAAGCATGGGTATAGATCGTTCTAGCAGCATACACAAATCCATAAAGAAACAAAGAAAGCCTCCTTAACATGAACCAACTATCACAGCATTTCTCTGGAAACATCAAAATAAAGCTTATTAACTTCTCATTCCAAGGAGCCTCTCTAGGGATTAGAACATAATGACATTCCAATTATAGCGTGAGACCCATCAGTGCAAATTTACAATTCTGACTTGCTAATAGTGTGACTAAACACCTATCTGTGGATTTGCATTTTGGTGTCTCCAGGATCCTTTTAAATCTCTGCTCTGTGACAGCAACATGCATTTGCCAGAGGCATCTGAGCAGAAAATCTGATACGAACACTCCACACAAGACATTAAAGTGCCTGGGCACAGCTGGCACTGAAAAAAAAATGTATTAAGCTTTCTATTATGTCATATATTTTACCAATAGCAAAAGAGAGAGATACTTGTGATTTTAAAACTCTTGTAGGTTCAAAGTGTAGCACCTCGGTCACGATCTTCATCGGCTAAATGCATCTTTGAGAACAGCCTCCTTCACAGGGCAAAACATGTTATTTCGTGTCTTGATATAATAATTCTCTCAGGCAGTACTAGCAGGAGACGGAGACAGATCCTCCTACATTGACTAATTACATAAAAATATCACACACACATTACCTGGGACCTCAGCTTTTAAAAACGAGAATGGACAGAAGAGGGGAGAATGGATCTAATTTGTCCAAAATAAAACTAGACTGTGTATTAGGACCTGAAGAGCTGCTTTGTGCTCTTCCCAAATAAGGCTTACCAAGGTACGTTTCATTGCTACAGAGGGGCCCCAATCTAAACAAAAGAAAGCGATCATGGTATCCCAAATCCCTATTAAGCAAAACTGCAGCTGATTTAAATTTAAAAAAATAAGAACTTCACATGTAAGACTGAATTTTAACGTTGTCACAACTATTAGCCTTTTGTTCCTATGTTTCCTACTTACTACTGTACAAAACCTTAAATTTGGGGTGTTTTTTCAAAGAAGTAAAAACAATACCCATGCCACAGTTCCTGATGCATCCTTCCTCCTACCGGCCTCGTGACAGCTTTGAGTCATCTGACTGTGCTCAGCCAGCAAGGATAACAAAACCTGCCACTCTGCGCAATGTCGAGGCACGCACGGCAGGCGCGGCAAGGAAGCGAGCAGAAACTGCGAGGAGGAGCGGGAACGTACTCATGGGGAGCAAGCGGGCAGACGGGAGGGCATCACACAGCCAGCCCAGCAAGCTCGACAGTAACCAGCCATCGAAGAAAAGTAGGGGGAAGTGTTTCCTGGGCTTTAGTAAACACTTCAGATCGGTGATCCCACAGAACCGGCTCCTCAAATGCAAAAATCTTTAATTGTTGAGATATCTTTAGGTGGTGTTTGTTTTCTCACCACAGGAGAAAAAAAAAAAAAGCAAGCATGTTGTGTGCTGATCTTATTGGGTTCAGTCATACTGCTTCTGCATGCTCAGGAAAGAACATCCAAAACATAGGCATAATTACTGCCTAAGAGCTGTCTACGTTTTTAACTAATGGTGACTATGAACATGAACTATTGCTCGCCGCATACAACAATTCCTAACTGCCATGTAATGGCTCATTACCATTGAAATAACACGTTAAGAGATTTTACAAAGCAATCTGACTCTCTCAAAAGGTACAAAGCAATGTGTCCAAGATTGGAAACACCACTGAAGTGATATTACTTGACTCTCCAACCCACTGAATTTAACATGCTAAAGAAACAGTGCAAGTTTTTTAACATCTCACACAGCTCTCTTCAACAATAATTCATATGCAATTTAAGAAAAGAAATCTAATGATATCTCTAATCCAGGACCTGTATTGGAGACTTCACTATTGTGAAAATGACCTGAAAACACAGCAAGTCTTTCACAGACCAGATAGGTTACTTCGTGTAAATTGGCACAAAAAGTTAATTAATAAACTTCAGACTTGTAAAAGGAAGTATGTTTCTCCCCACACTTACTAGTATACAGAACTGTCTTAAATTTTAGTTCCATCCACAGAAATTCAAAGCTGCCAAAACAGGGCAAAAAGCTAACATGGAGCTCAGTAACATTAACAGCGGTTTACAGACTTCCTCGCACCGGAGCGCGGTGGTTGGAGCCAGCCCCTCATTTCCCAACAGCTGATCAACGCAGGCTGTTGATTTTGTACCTTAAAAAGCACCCTGTAACTCATCGTTGTTTGTCAAGTCACCACATGCATAAAATAAACCTGAGACTCTGCTTTTCAGTTAACCTGCTGTCTCGTATAGCCGAATTGTCAGAGAATGTCGTTACAAACATCTAGAAGAGGATCAAAACTGCAAGCAGCTCTTGGTGGGTGGTGGTGATGACCACCTTTTTGGGAAAAAAACCTAAATTCCAGGTGTTGCCAGGCAAAGCAGCTGCTTAAATTACACTTTTATGTACCCCAAAAATCCACTGGGACTGAACAAGCTCCAAGCAGAAGACCACCTATTGGCACATCTATATCTGGCCGGTTTTGTTACGATTTCTCTCAACATTAGAAAACGCACATTAACTTGGAACTGTCAAAATCAGCCCTCAAAAATCTGACTGACTAATATGGAGCTAGTTGCTGTGAGAAAGGTGTTTCCTGATATTCTGCTTATAGTGCTAAAATGGTACATTTAAGTATTGATAACAGTATCTCAGATGGATTTTGGAGTTCTGGCCATCCACCAAGGCGTTCACCGGTGACAAGGGGAAAGCTCACCCTGATTTTTGACCACGTGCTCTATATACTGTTCTAACCCAATGTACTCCGAGCTATGTTTGGTTTCAATATTGCTAAAAAGCAAGGCGGACTCTTTGTCAATAAAAGAACATCCTGAGGAAGACACTAACTCTGGCCACTTCTCTCCTCATCCCAGCCACTGGCACATGCAAGAGACTGATGCGCGTGGGTCTGTGTATTATTATACTAAGAACTTAACTTGAACAGTCTCTTCACTGTGTAGCAAAATAGATCTTCTGGGAGAAGAACAGTGACTTTCTACAGACGCTTTCTGCTGCCAGGTTCCAGGGGCAGCGCGGAAGACACTAACTCTGGCCACTTCTCTCCTCATCCCAGCCACTGGCACATGCAAGAGACTGATGCGCGTGGGTCTGTGTATTATTATACTAAGAACTTAACTTGAACAGTCTCTTCACTGTGTAGCAAAATAGATCTTCTGGGAGAAGAACAGTGACTTTCTACAGACGCTTTCTGCTGCCAGGTTCCAGGGGCAGCGCTCAGCCAGCCTTCGCTACCCTTCGTCGGTGCCACGGCCGCTGCTGCCCCTTCCCCCGACTCGGACAAACGCGCAAGGCCTCTGCGCTCTCCTTCGCCCCTCCAAGCCGGCTGGGCGG